ATATGCATATTCTCAAAATAAACCATGGGTTCATCTCGATTATTTTTTGCTTGTTACAAACATATGCACAAAGACATAATACCCTTTAGCACAGTGTGGTGAATTTTTGTTTTTATACCCTTCACCACACTGTGGTACAGGGTATTATGTCTTTGTGCATATGTTTGTACGTCTGTCCATGTTAAATTGTAAACAAAGTACAGGTCGCATTTATGATCCGATTTGGATGAAATTTGGCACAGCTCATTTGTTTGGCCCAAGGACGAACCCTATTGAAATTGGGAAAAATCGGTTCAGATTTATATATAGCTCCCATATATATTTTTGCCCGATTTACGGGCTTTAGACCCTCAAAATCTTTCGATTTGCACGAAATTTGGCATAGCGTACAGAATTGAGCCACGAAAGATGTGTGCCAAGTTTCGTGAAAATCGGTTCAGATTTAGATATAGCTCCCATATATAGTTTCGCCGGATTTTTGGTAAATGGCGTACCAAAGTCCCTATATATCTTTCGATTTGTACGAAATTTGGCATAGCGCACTGAATTAAGTCTAGAAAGATGTGTCCAAATTTTCGTGAAAATCGGTTCAGATTTAGATATAGCTCCCGTATATATCTTCCTCCGATTTAAGGTAAATGGTGTACCAAAGTCCTTATATATCTTTCGATTTGCACGAAATTTGGCATAGCGTACTGAATTAAGTCTAGAATGAGGTGTGCAAAGTTTCGTGAAAATCGGTTCAGATTTAGATATAGCTCCCGTATATATCTTCCTCCGATTTAAGGTAAATGTTGTACGAAAGTCCTTATATATCTTTCGATTTGCACGAAATTTGGCATAGCGTACTGAATTAAGTCTAGAATGAGGTGTGCAAAGTTTCGTGAAAATCGGTTCAGATTTAGATATAGCTCCCGTATATATCTTCCTCCGATTTAAGGTAAATGTTGTACCAAAGTCCCTATATATCTTTCGATTTGCACGAAATTTGGCATAGCGTACTGAATTAAGTCTAGAATGATGTGTGCAAAGTTTCGTGAAAATCGGTTCAGATTTAGATATAGCTCCCATATATAGTTTCGCCCGGTTTTAGGTAAATAGTCCACTAAAGTCCCTATATATCTTTTGATTTGCAAGAAATTTGGCATAGCGTACTGAATTAAGTTTTGAATGATGTGTGCAGAGTTTTCTGAAAACCTGTTCAGATTTAGATATAGCTCCTATATATATATATATATATATATATATATATATATATATATTTATTTAAGGTAATTGGTGCATCAAAGACCCTATATATCTTTCGATTTGCACGAAATTTAGCATAGCATACTGAATTACGTCTATAATAATAACAAGCTATGTCTGTTGGATACATATGTAGAATATACCCAAATTGGTGAAGGGTATCATATAGTGGTTTCTTCAAATGACTTTCTTTTTCAAATATTTTTTCCATACTCATAAGAAGTGGATTTTAATTTTGATTTTATTTATTATTTTTTCGAGAATATATAGCCGTGAGTTTAAGGCGTGGTTTTAAGGCTTGCACTTTTAAATAAAACAATCTTTAAGAATCTCATAGAATTCAAAATTTCCATATAGGATTCATATTTATCTACAGTTTATTTCATTCATTATTATAACACAAAACTCACTTTATTAATTTTTGACTTTGTACATCTTCAACCTTACAAGATTATTTAAAATTTTTTAAATTTCAGTTGCAACAATTTCAACATTAAAACGCAAATTACAAATTTAAATACACACACGAAATCATTTTTTAATACACACACATCATTTGGATATTTTCTTTATCTTAGGCAAAATAATTTCGTTGTCAAGAAATTACATTTCTTTTTTTATTTTTCGAATTTTCCGTTTTTCACAATTAATTTTTTTGTTATGGTTTTTTGCTTTCAAAAAAAAACTTTTACCGCGATTTACATTGTTGTCGAATTGATAGAATTCACGATTCAAATATCAAACGCGCTCAAAACTTTGATTACGCCGCACATGAAAACATCTAACGAAGGACTAAACGTGCTAAGGATAATGTCTGACATATATAAAGGGCAACGATACCAGCAACCCGAAAAGTACAACAGTACAACAACAGCAGCAACAACAACTGTAATAGGCGCCAGTCAGTTCACAGTAGTTAGTTAATATCGGCTCCCAAATATCGTAAATGGAGAAATGTAAACAAATGGGTTGCCGGCATTTTTATTGTGGCGAACAGCTGTTTCTTTGTTTACTTTCGAAAACTAAAGGGAAGTTTGAGCTTTGGAAAAGTTAAAGCTTTGGAAATTTGTGGAAGAGCTTTTTTGGGAAAATATTTGAAAAACTTACGCTATTTTGGAATTTGAGCTTTCGGCATGATAGGGTGGATTTGGATTCCAATGAACAAGCTCTGCAGACACCCTTTAAGGTGTGGATTTTTAAAATATTTTTGTTTTAGGGACCACCAAAGGAGTTGATTTTAAAATAATTTGTTTCGGGGTCACCAAAGATGTAGATTTTTTACATAATTTTTTTTCAGGGACCACCAAAGGTGTGGATTTTTAAAACATTTTTTTCTGGATTTTTTTAAATATTTTTTTTGGATTTTTTTAAAATATTTTTTTTTCAAATCTAATGAATTTTGGCACATCTCATTTATTTGGCCCAAGGACAAACTCTATTGAAATTGGGAAAAATCGGTTCATATTTAGATATAGCTCCCATATATATTTTCGTCCGATTTAAGGTAAATGGTGTACCAAAGTCCTATATATCTTTCGATTTGCACGAAATTTGATGGGTGTTATGTTTCCTGAAAATCGGTCCAAATTTAGATATAGCTTCCATATATATCTTCACCCGATTTAAGGTAAATGGTGTACCAAAGTCCCTATATATCTTTCGATCTGCACGAAATTTGGCACAGAGTACTGAATTGAGCCTAGAATGATGTGTGATAAGTTTCCTGAAAATCTGTTCAGGTTTAGATATAGCTCCCATATATATATATTTATATATATATATATATTCGTCCGATTTCATGTAAGTTTTGCACTAAAGACCCTAAGTTTGTCCGATTGTGCGCACAATTTTGTACAGTGTACTGAAATCTTTGACAAGTTCCGTTGAAATCGTTGCAGATTTAGATATAGCTCCCACATATATATTTTAGTTTGATTTAAAGTAAATGGGACACCAAAGTCCCTATATATCTTTCGATTTGCACGAAATTTTGCATAGCGTACTGAAATAAGACTAGAATGATGAGTGTTTAGTTTCCTGAAAATCGAAATGATGTGTGCTAAGTTTCGTGAAAATCGGCTCAGATTTAGATAAAGCTCCCATATATATTTTCTTACGATCTGATGTAAATAGTAAAAGTAAAGCCGATTTGAACGAAATTTGTACAACGTTAGTTACTATAACGTTCGGCGTGTCAAGTTGTATCTTGAAGAGTTTTATGTAAGTACCTGCCAATAGGCCTACCTCACAGTGGCTGAGTCACAGGCGGAAAAGCGCGCACCAGCACCGAAGCACTGTACCAATTGGAGAGCATGCAGAAGGCAGACACTCCCCCTTGCCTACACTACATCCACAGGACGAGTGAAGCACATGAAGTGGAAACCACGAACCACCCACGATGCACAGACAACCGCAGGCAGCACGTACACCACCTACAACCGCCGATAACCGCACCAAGACCAGCACCGCCACCCGGTGCAACTACCCACCACCACCACCCGGTGCAACCGACCAACCCAACTGCAAGGGGGCTATGCACGAGGACCACCTCCGCTAAGTACTGTCCTTCTCCTAAATGCTTCACGAGCAAAACTACTTAAACAACTTAAGGTCCGATCGTCTACAAGTGCCCTACTGAAATCCCACCCCGCCCCTCCATTCGATATACCCATACTTGTTAAATCTCTAATGTCATCATAGTAACAGCATTCCGACAGTATATGCTTCCAGTTCTCAGTCATCCAGCACCCACATAAATCCGTCTGGGACAGGTCTCTTTTATGCAGAAAGCATTGAGAGAGCCATGCCCCGTCAGTAAGAAACCAGTACTTAAGCCGAAGCGAAAGTCTGGCCGGTCAACTACGAACGTTGAGTCACGAATAAATTCGTACGTCACCCTCCCTTTGTCACTGTTCGTCCACATTGTCCTCCACCTATCAACAACAACAACAATCCCGAAGGATAGTACTGTACCGCCTACTCTCCCCATCCACCAAATCAGAAGGCCTGAGCCAATCATCCTCATCCAACTGCAAACCACGCTTAAGCTTATAGCAGCACCTGCAACGCTTCTGTTGAAACAGTGCGACACACTGGCAAGCACGCTAACATGACGACCCGCTGACACGAAAGGAGCTTCCTCTGCCCGAAGACAGAAGAGGCAGTTCTGTACCATATAGGTGCACCATAAGTTGCGCAAGCAACAAAAAGCCCACCATATATGATACGCACAGAACGCCTACTCAAGCCCCAATCAGTCCGCAAAACACGCCTGATGGTCCCAACGACCGTTGTCAGCTTTTCCTTCAACCGATCGAAGTGTGGAAGAAAATTCAAACGCTATGACACCGTTATCCCGAGATACTTGCTCCCATATTAAGTTTCGTCCGATTTTAAGTAAATTATGCACAAATACCCAAAGTTACGCCGAAAATCTTGCACATTTTTCAAAATAATATGTATCAGGCACCTCAGACTCGAACATTTTTAAAATATTTTTCTAAGGAATTAGGAAATTCAACCATACATAACATTGTTTATTTTACCGAAGTATTCGGCGGTACACAATTAAATAACAGGACAAAGCTTTTTCGGTTTGTGCCTTAGCTAATGCATTCGATAACATTTATACGGTACAGCTTTTTTGACTCTACCACACTCTCATAACATTTCACCTCACATATTTCACCCCCCCCCCCCAACATAACATAAAATATAAACACACCACTCTTTTTTAATTCTCACCACCTTACCTGAATGTTTATTGCCAATTTCATGTACCATCTCCCGGTGACGATCTTTTTGGTCGCGTGATATCCAATGCTGGGCAAAATTCATATTATTTTTACGCATTTGTTCGCCCAGCGTTTTCATCATTAGGAAACAGGTGTGCTGACCGGCAACACTGGTCTGACCATCACGATCATAAAAGAATATCGAACGGGACCATTTATTTCTGTGAAACGGAAAATGGAATTAATAATTTATAAAATTCCGTTAGTAGGACCATTGGTTTTTCTTACTGTTTCATTACATTTATTGTGAGATCGGATATTGTGCGAAAGCTTAGCATTCCCGTACGCAACAGCATATAGAATTCATCGGCACAGGTGGTCTTTTTGGCCTCAAAATCGAACGTTCCACCACCGACGGTTATTAGCGGCGTGCCATTGCTGTTGAAATATTTGGTGATGCGTCCAACGGCGGCTGTGAGGGAAAAAATGGAAGCGGAACTTCGTTATCTAGGATACATCAGATAAATATACGATCTAAATAATTCGCAGATAAATTAGCTGTATTATCACAATATCACAGATAAAATATCTAGGTTAGGAAAATAACGTAGATAATGAATGTGTGATAAATTATGAAAATAATTTAGACACATTATATACGCTATGAAAATACCGTATATATATTATCTATGTTATGAAAGTGACGTAGATACATTATCTATGTTATGAAAATTAATTGGATACATTATCTACGTTATAAAGATAACGTAGATACAATATTTACATTATGTAAAGAACGTAGATACATTATCTACGTTATGAAAATTAAGTAGATAGATTATGTACGTTATGAACATAACGTAAAACATTATATACCTTATGAAGATATCGTAGATACATTATCTACTTTAGGAAAATAACGTAGATACATTATCTACTTTAGGAAAATAACGTAGATACATTATCTACCTTAGGAAAATAACGTACATATATTATGCAGTTTATATAAATAATGTAGATACGGTGGTTATTTTATATAAATTTTGTAGATACATTATCTACGTTTTGAAAATAACGTAGATACATTATCTACGTCATCAAAATAACCTAGATATATTATCTACGTTATGAAATAGATAAAAAATAGACGTAGATACATTTTTTACGTTACATAAATAACGTAGATACATTATCTATGTTATATAAATATTGTAGATACATTATCGACGTTATATAAATAATGTAGATACATTATAGACGCTATATATAATGTAGATACATTATCTAGGCTGAGAAAATAATATCTATGTCATCAAAATACTGTAGATACATTATCTACGTTATATAAATAACGTAATACGTTATCTACGTTGTACAAAATAAGCGTAGATACATTGTACAAGTGATATAAATAAAGTAAATAGTTTAGATACTTTATC